AATAAAATCTTCACTAATACTGAGGTACAAAAGAATTACAGCACCGATAAATGCTAATACAAGCAGATTCAAATGTTTTTAATGGGAAGGACAAAAAAAGGATGGAAGACTGCCCCATGATATTAAGATAACATCTACTTGATGCTTTATATCATGAAATTTTAAACCTGTATGATAATAAGACTTTTTTTTTTCTAGATTTTCTGCAAATATATGTATTATCAGGATAGGAGAGGAAGGGTAAAAAAAGGTTAGAAAAATGCTATTCTTTTATATCCTCACTTAGAACACAGAGCTCCAATAAGTTATATCAATACACAAAAAAGTAAGGAAATAAATGATTTAAAATATTTTTAATTGCCTTAAGGGAAAATGTGTGTTAAAGCAATATAATTCATGACAAGATAAACTGTCTGCATTATTTCCATTTCATCATTTAATATTTCTAATGTAAGCAAAGTCTCAAAGTTTGTTCCAAAGTGATTTTCAGAAAGTTGGAAGTAACAGAGAAAACCAGATTTAGCCAAATGTTGCTGAAGGTGGGTGATGTTCTTAGAGAATTCAAGTTTCTTCTCTTCTGACATGTTTCTAGTTCTAAAGCTGTGCACATAAAAAACTTTTTAAAAACTATAGCATAAATGTAATAAAACATAAAAATGAGTCATGTGAGAGCAATGCACTTATTTTCTTAACTTTGGGACATATAATGCTAATTATATTGGAAATATACAAGAACAACTAAAAAGCAGGTAGCCAATATACACAGTAACATTTAAACTCATATATAACAATTTTAACATTTCTCACTAAATTTTAACTTGACAGACTATGCCCTTATACACTGGGAACTAAGGAATTACACAGCACTGTACAAAGAAAAATGTACAAGTTTTTAGACTGAAGCACTGAGAATTAAAAAAGAACTAGCAAGAAACTACAATGAGTCTATAACCTTTAAGGTTAGAGTTTGAGAGGTGTTGACTGGGAGTACTGCCCTGGCCCTTTGAAAGCCAGTCACACAAATAGCAATAAAGATAAAAGGTTTAGTCATCTAGATCAGGCTCTAAAAGCAGATAAAAACTCAGAAGCTACCATTCTTCGTCCAGTTTTGACATCCAAAATTCTTAGGGCCCTTTTTGGGGATGGTACCTTTAAAAGTATAGCATTTTTAATAATCATTTTCTTCCCTTTAAACATAAAAAATACTTCAACCAGCCCAACCAGCCAAGCAGGCCTTTCTCTTCCCCTGCGGACACCTCCTGCAGTAGAGAAGTTCATTAAGTTTTATGATCTTCCCAAGTCAGTCCTGCTTATAAGCCTCACAAAGGCCACAAATCTGGCAAACCATCATGTATGCCATTAGACATTACTAGTAAATGAACGCTATTTAGAGTTTGTGGTAGTAATAAATCAGAGTTTGGTTGGCAGCTATCAACATGGAGTATTGTAACCTACTGTTTAGAAAGAAAAGGTTGTACCAATTTATCTTTATAATAAACAATATTTTTTCACAATGTGATTCAAATATAGTCTAAAATATTGGGTTTTCATTAAAAATGTTTAAGTACTTTTTTATTAAAAAAGAACCATTTATTTATTTTATTCATATTTTCAGAATTAAGATGTTTGGAAAGAGGGCAGATTAATGAGGATGGAATATTTCACAATGGAAAGCATTCAAACACTATTAAGGTGGCCAAAAAAAAGATGTGAGGGAATGTACCAAAAGAACTATGTAGATAAGTTGATCTAGTATAACCATGATCATTTAAAAAGAGATAGATGGTAAAACATGGGTTAAAAAAAAATTTAACATAGCAATTATCTGAACAGCTTATATAACAGTTTAAAAGGACAAATATGATCCTAAAGGCTTTAACTTTACAGTTGTTTTCAAAATGCATAAATATTACAATTCAATAATAAGACATTCCTATCCAAAATGAATTAGATGATGAATTCTACAAAAGCATACATTTTCAAGAAAAATCAAGCATCTCATAGTTAAAAGTATACTTTCCCTGTCTCTGAATAAGAAAATACTATAATTGTGGTAGATTACCCGTTGATCTGTCAGAAGGGAAAAATACCTTTTCTTGTTGGAGTGGAGGGTGTTGGGGGGCAGGGAGAGGATGTTTTCCAAACCAAATCTCAAGTGCATCAAAACTGGCAATGTTCACTACATTGCCTGTTCAGAAATCTCAAAATCTGCTGGCAGATCTACGAATACATGGAATTTTTTAGAAATAATTTTATCTTAGAAGAAGCACAACTGAAATTACATTATCCACTGAAGTGACAGTTTTTTCCCCCACCTCCTCACTAGTCAACCCCCTACCCCGCCATTATGCAGAATAGAGTCATCACATACCATTCCCAGTTTCTATTACAAATGATTAGGTAAACTTTCTATAATCTAGAGAATTAATTCTTGGAAACTGTATTATTAAACTCAATAAAATGATCTGAAGGAAAAGCTTATAAAATATACATATATTCCACAATGCTTCTAAGTTTATAATGCTTCCAAAGCTTTGACTGTGGGAACAGATGGGGGTTCGGGAGGGGGGAGAAGACCTGGAATTTGCTGCCCAGATTGCTTTGCTTTGGTAACACTAATAATCGACCCAGTTTTACTTTAAATCAAGAAATCTGAGTGCAGCATCCCTGTTTCCTTCTAAAGATGATTTTGGAGGGTGAGGAGGAGCTATAGGTAATAGGGGAGAGCAGAGAGCAGAGAAAGAGCTTCACCCCCATCAATCACTCGGTACTTAAATCTAGTCCCTCTCGAGCTTAGAGAGGCTGGCAGGAAGATGCCTCTACCCAGACAGCCGCCTTCACTGTTAGCTGTTGGCTTTTCAGAAAGGGATAAGGGGCAAACTTGCTTTGGTTAGCCAAAGCACAAAAAGAGGATCTCATTTACAAGTTATCACTGAAAGGCTCAGAAACAATTTTCAAAACACAAAAATTTCCTTTGTCAGCTACCTCTTCTTATTAAATAGCAAAAGCCCTACCAAAGCTGTCTCTGCCAATAATTCCAGGCTGAAAAGACTTGTTTCTTTTTCGTAACTCACCTTTGACGTGAGGTTGACTATACTTTCCTTTCAGAATGGTGCAACTAAGTCTTGTGCAAATAAGCAAGTAGGATTTACGCTTCCTAATTGAATTCTGCCTGCTGCTAAATGTCTAAACAAGAAAAGCAGTTTTCTGGGTTTGGGTCTCAAGATGGATAGGCCAAAACTTCAAAATACAAATCATGAGAAGGGGGCAAGAGAAGAAGAATATCAATCCCCTCTCCCTAGTAATATAATGCCGTATAAAGTTGAATCAATCTTAATATTCACAACACAGTCAATACCCCAGCGCTTAGCTGTCAGCAGAAACTGAAGTGAAGCTCTGATAGCCAGAAAGCCCTTGGACATTAAGCAACATAATTTACTGAGAATTACATACTTTTAGCCTTCTAAGCTAAGAATCTTCAAGATTGAATGTGTGTCTCATTTAATAGTCAGATAAAAATTATCTACTGTTCTAAATCACAATGCCTTTTAAAGGCAGCTTTAAAAAAATCAGCACAGAGGTAAAGTTAATAATTTTAAATGCCTGTAATTTTAAAAATATAAAATATGCCTTTTCAAAAATCATTCAATGAGATATAAGAAACCATATATATTATGTGAAAGAAAAGCGGAGAAAGTACTATGTAAAGTCCTCAATATTTGCTATTATTTATGGTTCTAGCATACATAGCACACATTTTAGTAGATAGCAATACCCACCACCACCCTCCGTTGATTACTTTTAGGATGAGAACAGAATTCGCAAGGCAAAAGATCTGTTTAAAATGTGGACACCTCTCTTACCAAAACTAGCAAATATACAGCAGTATGTTATTTGTATTCAATTTAAACACAATCTAACCTTTAAAAAAGCAATACTTGAGATAAGGACAAGTATCTTGACTTTAACTTTCTCTTCTTTGCTTCTCAACTTCTTTTTTAAAAAGCAGCTTTGATACCATGCATCCGAAATGCACCTCTTCCAACACCTCCCCCAGGCAAAAAAAAAAAAAAGGAGACAGCAAAGCTTGTTTGATGCACTTGTTTGCCAGGTACAGGGGGCAGATCATGCCCAATTAACATATCTGGATTAACCTCTAATTCCACTTGAGATGCAACTACCAAATCAAGACTGAAATATCTTCAATTTTTAACCAAAAATTTAAGCCGAAATGAACTGCCAGAAATTTGGCTAATGTGTAGATTTCACTATAGATTTATAGATTCCATTCCAGCACCTCTACTAAATCTGAGTCTTCCTCTGCTTTGAACACTTCGAAAATTATTTACCCCACATTAGTGGCCCTTATTCCAATTTATAATTTATGTTCACCAGAGTAGTGAACGCTGTAGTGACTTCAAGCATCAAATTTAATGGAAGTATTAGGAGGAACACATTGCATATGCCCACATCGCTACCCTCTCTCCCTTCTTAAAAGTAATCTTCCCAACTAAAACACTAATTCAAACATGCCACTGGGGTCTGTCCAATTGTAACTGATCTCCCATCTGCTTGCACCGAAGCTTAGGGATGTCTAAGTAAAAGTTCGGGCGGTGCTTCTCCCAGGGTCCCGCGGACTAGGTCCTTAGCATCCAGTCTCCCATAGCTCCTTTTAAAAACTGACACACAATCAAGGAGAAAGGAGCGGGAGAGGCCAGCGGGCGCTCCGGGCGCCCTCCCCGCCTGCTGCCAGGGGCAGCCGCTCGGGGACGGCGACCCAAGCCCGCCCGCGTTTACACTTCATTTTGCACCAGGAGCGGAACTGAGAAATCGACTCCGGATTTATTGCAGTTTTTTTCCTCAAGATCAGAAGGTGGGAAGAAGAGAATGATCAAAGATGGCGGTGCCCAAAAGCAGCAGCTCTCAACTGGAGAGTCGAAGGAGTAGCTCCGACCCCACCTCGGGGGTCTCCGGGCCCACCGCGGGGCGCCGCGTCTTACCTGTTTTCTCTTTGATCTCACACAGGACGCTGAAGAGCGCGGGCTTCATTCTGTGACAGTTCAGAGCATGTTTCCTTTTGCAAAAGAAAAAAAAAAGGAAAAGAAAAAAAAGGCAAAACACAAAGGTATTAGCATCACCTATGGAATAATATGGCGCCCTCCTTTAAGTTATAGCCCCGGGATTTCATGCCGGGCCCCCAGCTTCGCGAGGCTCCCCGGACCCGGGGCAAGTCCCACGAAACTCCACTTGACTCGTGAGCGACGGCCGGCGGCGGCGAGCTCCGGCGGGGAGAGCGGCGGCCCGAACGCGGCGCGACCCGCCGGCCGCCGGGGCCACCGCGGGGCGCGAACCCGCACCCGGAGCCGCGATCCCGGGGGCCGGTGGGGCGGCGGCGCCCCGGGGGGAGGGCGCGGCGCGGCGTGGCCCGGGCCGCGGGCGGCGGGCGCGGCCGGCGGGCGGTGACAGCTCGGCAAAGTTTGCCAGGCGGCCCTCCCCGCTCCGCGAACTTGGCCGCCCGCACCCCGACCCGCCCGGCGCCGGCCCGCGCCCCGCGCCCGCTCTCCGAGGGAGCCCCGCGGCCCGCAGCCTCCGGGCGCCGGCGCGCCGGGCTCGGGGCCCGCGGAGAAAGTTGCACTTGGCCGTGGGCGGCCCGGGCCCGGTCGGGGCGAAGGACGGGACGCTTGCACACCCCTGGCGGGGGCCGGGCGGCGATCGGGCCGGCCCGGGCCACCGAGTGGGGGCCGGGGGGCGCGCACACCCGCGACCCCCGCCGCCCGGCTCCGTCCCGACCCCGAGAGCAACTTTGCCGACTCCCGCCGGCGTCGAGGGGCGCGGGCCAAGTCGCCCCGAGGCCCGGGCCGGCGGCCGTGGTGGGGAGAAAGTTCCCCGGCCGCCCCGGGCACCGACCCCCGCCCCGGGCGCCCGCCCCCCGCCCCGGCCCCGGCCCCGGCCCCCGCACACACACAAAAGATGCTTAATGAGACGACACCAACTTTGCTTGCGCCTCGTCCAAGCTCTGGTCGGTGATGGTCATGATCTGGTGGAGGATGTCGCCGATGTCCTGCTTCCTACCGTCGCCGTCCGCCCCTTCGTGGCCGTGCGGGGGCGGCGGCAGCGCCATGCCCCCCTGCACCGAGTGGCCGGCCAGGTTCACCCCGGCCAGAGTCTGCAGCATCCTGGATTGATCGTCCATCCCGCCGCGCGCGGGCGGGAGCGGGCGGCGGCGGCGGCTGGGCGAAGGCTGAGGCGGCAGCGGCGGCGGCGGCGGCGGCGGCGGCGGCGAGGAGGGAGGAGAAGAAAGAGGGGGAGGGGGAGGGGGCGGCGGCCGCGCGCTCCCCGCCCGCGTGGGGAGGGGGCGGCCCGGCCGGCGGGGCCCGCGGCTCTAGGCGGTGCGGACGGGCGCCGGGCTCGGGCTTCCGCCGCCGCCGACGCTGAGGACCCGCGGCGGGCGGAAGCGCCGGGCTCCGCGCCGCGGTGGCGAAGGCGGAGGCAGCGGCGCCCGCTGCCCTCACGCGGCCGCCGCGCCGCCTCCTCGCCTCCGCGCGCCCAGCCGGGCGGCCCCGCGCAACTTGCTCCTCAGCGCCCGCCGAGTTGCCGGGACGCCCGCTGCCCCCCGCGCCAGCCTGCGCGCTCCCCGCCCTCGGCCGCCGCCCGCCGCCGCCGCCGCCGCCGCCTCAGCCGGGCGGGATCCGAGCCCCGGCGGCCCCGGGGGAGGGAGCGGCGGCGGCGGCGGCGGCGGCGAGGGAGGAGGCGGGCGGGCTGAGGGGAGCGCGGGGGACGGAGAAGGAAAGTTTGGGAGCGGGCCGGCCGGCGCGGCGGGAGCGCGGAGCCCGATGGAGGGCCCTGGCGGGCCGCGCGCCGGGCGGACAGCAGATTGATGGGGCGGGAGAAGTCGCCGCCGCCGCCGCCGGAGCCGCGCACCCTGCCAGCAGCCGCCGCGGACCGGGCTCGAAGGCCGCTCGGCTGAGGGATTGACAGGCTGCCAGTGCCACTCACTCACTGCGGCCGGGCGCCCGCGGGGGAGGGGCGGGGGCGAGCGGGAGGGCGGGGGAGCGCTCCGCAGGCCCCGCCCCCGGGGGCGGTGCGCGCGCTCATTGGGCCCCGCGCCGCCCGCCGCCGCCGCTGGCGCCGCCCACCGGGCTCGGCCCGCCCCCTCTGGCCTCCGACCCTCCGAGGCTGAGTACGCGCCTCGGGCTCCTCGAGCCTCGTCCGGGTCTCGAGCGCCGGGAAGGGTTAGCCCCGGCCCCCAGACCTTATGGCCGCACCCCGGACCCGCTCTGTACCGCGAAATGTTATGGGTAACGGGGAGTTGTGTGTGGGACACGAGGCAACTCGTTGCAAAGCCACCCATGTGCGGCTCCGCGAGCACCGTGGGCTTCGCGCCTCGGACAGCGCCTGCTGCACTTTCCCGCTCTTGCCGTCAGAAGGTGGTACCCTCAAGGCGCCCGGCCGCCTATCCCGGGCCAATCGCATCGCGCTCGGCGGTGGACGGGGCGGGACGGAGGCAAGGAAGGGCTATCTCAATTGGAGCGTTCGAAATGTGCTGGGCAAAGGGGCGGGGACGGGGACGCTGGTGGCCACGCCCCCTCCCCCGGTCACCATAGTAACCGAGAGGGCGCTGCTCGTCATTGAGCCAGCGCCTGGGCCTTGTGCTGCCCCTCGAGGGATGAGTAGGTAAGGAGTGAACTGAGAGTCCTGCTGGCTAGAAGTCTGCGCTGAGAGGGCTTGAAAGGGAAGCATATGAAGATGTGCCGAAGGGAAGCAGATCTCGAAGGAAGGACAGGGCCTGATACTCAGGACTATTAACCTTTAACATACTTGCAAATTCCTAATAATCCGGGGGTGACTCCTTTGGCGTCCTTTGCTTTGACTCCTTCCAGATAGAAGCTGCATAAACAAGGTCTCTATCAGAAATGTTTTTTTAAGAATCCACTGGATTTCACTTACATCTTACCCTCTTCCCCTGAGTCACTTAATGTCGCTGACCCCAGCCACAGATTTTCATTTAGGTAAAACAATTTCTAGCACTAGACTCCATCTGCAGATAAATACAGGCTCACAGTTAGGGGTCTCAACTTGCACCTCTTGTAAGATGCAAGCCTGTTCTTTTAACCTGATTTCTCAAAGACAGTCTCAACAAAAACATTTTAAATCCACAGAACTCTCCCTGAATGGGTTGCATAGTTGTTTCTGAAAACTCTTGTTCGTTCTGCAAACTCAGTCAGCTGTCTTACCTGAAACCAAAAATAGGGGTGTGGAATATGAAAAATGGCTCTTACTCTGCAGGGCTTAATGTAGGACAAGCAGTTCTTTACATGCCAGATGGATTCTTGGAATGAAGTAGACTACTCGGTTCCAGGTTCTTTCCTTCATATGTTGTGTGTACTTTTAAATACTCCCCACTGCAAAGCTAATAGCTAACCTTACAGTTAGGCGAGCTAAAATCCTTACAAACTGCACAGCTGCTGGAGAGGGAGTTCCAAACAATCCTCTCTGCTTACTTGCCTCCAAAGTAGCGGCCCCCTCATGTTCATTAATATTCCCTGCTCTAGCCCATTTATGTGTCAAGCTTCTGATTCTCCTTTCAAGCCCCCATTAGGGGTTACTCAGAGTCATCATTGATTGGGTTTTCTCCTTATTTTTAACTTGTTTTTCAAAGCTGTCGCCAAATCCTTATACATTTTTTGCATCAAAGAACAAGAGTGAGCTACCAATCTTTTATAATTTTCTAATTCTGGGGATATGAAAGCACTGAATTCTATATCCTACAGATGCCTGAAATTCTAAATTCCTTCCAACTCTAAATTTCAGTGGTCCTGTGACTCACTCTAAGGCCTCCTCCCTGCCCTCCTCCTAGGCTCATAATCTTGACTAATCAGTCATGAGGATGAGGCTAATTAGCAATGGGGATTTATGGTTATTTCTAGCCCACTCCAGACAATGAATTATGTAAGCAAAGCAACATATATGAAAATGTAAATAAAATTAAAGAAACACTTAAGCAAATAAAGGCAATTGGGAACTATGGGCTCTGTAAACAAACGAACATAAAAACATAAATTAGAATTAAGAAAACAGTTAAGCAAATGCCAGCAATTAGGAATAAGACAACTTGTTAAATGTCTAACACCCACAGCTATTTTATGTCAAACACCTCTAAACCCGTGGTCATTCAGTGATGTGAAAACTTGATACTATAATTCTACATTAAGTGATTGGATTGACTTGCTTGGGAAGCATCTCTTTCTGTTGTTATCAATATGACTTGCAGTAAAAGCCTGAGTTCCCAAGAATTCCCTCACAGACTCATTGACAGCGACCATTGATTTAAAGCATAAATTCTCTTAGATTGGCTTCCAAGCCCCAATAAACAGTGTCAACTAATTGCACGAGCTCCAAGATCTCTTGTGCTTTCACCAGTTTCTCATCTAGGCTCTGCCTTGTCTCTTCTCAGCAGTCTGAATCACATGGTCGGTGCCTTCACAGCTAATAAAGTTGGATCTCCCTAAGTAGTTGAATCCATCTTTGCTGTTTCTAAGGCAGTGATTATTAAAAAGTCAAGGGAAATGTAATTTACTTTTGGTAAGCGTACTTTCATGCAAAGTTAACAGTGACAAAGTGGTGAAAACCAAGCAAGAGGTTCTCTCCTCGCCATCCCTTTCCGTGGGCTCATATTAGCGGCACCACGGCTGCGCCCGTCAAGCTGATCATCACAGCAGATGTGATTGTCAAGCACACTCTCAGGTGGGATGCTGTGCTCTGTGCTGCCCTTATTTCATCTTATTTCCCAACAGCCCTATCTGGGTCAGATGATTATTAAATGAAGAAACACAACTTTGGCGCTGGGTGTGGTGAGGTTTGGATACAAACAGAGGTATGAAACTGAACTCTCAAAAGACGTACAGTGCTCTCAATCAAAGGTAAATCAAAATTTTACTGGGGGGCCATTAAGGAGCTTACAAATGACCACAGAAGCAGTAAGAATTAAGTCATAAATTCAAATCTTGATCTGTATGGCTATAAAGTCCTATAAAACACTGTGCAGGGCAGAGGAAGCATTTGAAGGCAGAGAGAGCTCTCAACCACTAGAATTCATGTTTTACATGCATAGATTTGAGCCCCATCACCACTTGGGTCCTCAAGAGCTACCAAGAGCAGCCAAGAGTTCCGGGCCTCTGAATATTGCCAGGATGTTCCCCACCCCCAAAGGAAAGCCAACAGGCTTCCAAACCCGGTCCTAGTCATTTAAAGGGCCAGAAAGATAGTTTTAAGCGTTGGAACATGCATGGGGCCCTGATTACCATCTCCAGTACTACATCTGAAGACGCTGAGCACTGCTGAGCTTAAGTAGCACCCAATCACCAGACTTGGACATCCAGTATGCGTAGCCAGGCCCCTGCTCCAGCTACCTGAACACTTCTTGGAAGGTCCAAGAAAAAAACCATTTAATTATTATTTTTTTAAGTCACAAGACTCTGACAGGTGAACTGCACATTAGTGAAAATAAGTAATCAGGCACTTGGTGTTAAAAGGATAAATAATTATTAGGAGAATCTGGGTCTTTTAGCTGTAGAAAAGGGGGATGAAGACCAAACCTCAGAAGGCTTCATGGTCATTTAGGACCCTGCCTCTTCGAAGCTTTCCTGTCCTGCCTACCTTCACTGATCTTCATCTGCTCTAAATTCTCAGAATATTTTGTCCCTAGTCTAGGGCTCATCTCCACATTAGGTAGCCCTGTTTTTGCCTTCAGTCTACCTGCTAGTTTTTCCTTAAGTTCACAAGTATGTTAAGGGCAAGTTATTTTGTGGTACAACTATAACTGATTTGGCTTAGAAAAAGAGGGGCTGAGGCAATAGTGCAGTGGGGAGGGCATTTGCCTTGTGTGCGGCTGTCCTGGGTTCAATCCTTAGCACCTCATATGGTCTCCTGAGCACCACCAAGAGTGAGCCCTTGAGCGTAGAGCCAGGAGTGAGTCATGGCCCAAAAGCAAAGAAGAAGAGGAGGAGAAAGAAGAAGAAGGAAAAGGCAAGGAGGAGGAAGAGGAGGAGGAGGAGGAGGAGAAGGAGGAAGAACAGGAGGAGGAACAGGAGCAGCAGCAGCAGCAAACAGGACTGGCATATGGCTCAAATGATCACTATCATTGTCACTGTCCTCCCGTTGTTCATCGATTTGCACATACAGGCCCTGTAACGTCTCCATTGTGACAATTGTTACTGTGTTTGTAAATGTCTTATATGTCTAAGACCCCAAGTTTAACCCATAGCATCACATCACCTAACCCCCAGCAGTGCCAGGTATAGCCTAGAAATAGCTCAGAAGCACTGTAAGGGTGGCCCCTGGTCCTCAGTATCACTTGAATTGTCCCCACCGAAAAAAAAAAGGAAGAGGAAGAAAAAGAAAGAGAAAAATAATAACTTTGAATTCTAGAAAAGAGTTATATTCTCTGAACTATACCTCATGGGAAGCTGACAAAATGCTTCTCTTCCCAAAACATGTTGCCGTGTCACTACAGGAATGAACACATGTGACATGAGACAGATCTTCATCTTCTGAAGATATCTGAGCCCCCTGATCCCCAGGATCAGAGAGCATCTCTGTAGTGAGGGCCTGAAAGGGAATGCTGCTTCCTCAGCATAGTCTCCGAAGGTTTGATCCAAAGTCCCA